TTTTTTCTTCTATTTTCTTTCCAGTTCTTGTTCCCCTCAGGAAAGGTTCCTTTGATGTTGGTGGGGGGCTCTTGATTGGGGAATTTGATCTGTGCTCCAGTTCCCCGAATTAAGCCTGAATGCTTTCCACATCCCCCACCCCCCCTAGGCGCTGTATAATCCTCCGGGTTTAGCGCTTTCCCCATGATTATAATAATAATCAACTATTCTTGTTCTTGTTTATTTCCTCTTATCTCCATGGGGAAGTGGAACAGAATTCTTCCTCCGTAAGTCATGCGTGTTGTAAGAGCGACTAAAATGCCGGGAGCAAGAGGCTAGTATACCCCTTCTCCTGTATATATTACTAAATTTAAAAAGAGAAACTTTTGTTTTTCTTTTTGGGCCACCCTGCCTCGGTGGGATACGGCCGGTGCGTTGAAAAGAAGAAATATATATATATATATATATATATATATATATATATATATATATATATATATATATAATATAATATATATAATGTCGTGCTGAATAAGTAAAACTGGTCAATTAGCAAGAACTCATTTAAAATTAAGTCTTTCTAAAATTTTCTCTTATACATTTAAAGATATTTTTTTTAATTTGTTAGTATAAAAATTAATGATTTTGTACCAAAAGAATCTTAGAAAACTTATCTAACCTTATTTTAACAAGAACAATTTAATTTAGCCTAATCCAACAAAATATATTTTAGATACGTTTACAATAATTTAATAAACAAACACAATGAAATATATTTTTTTTCGTTAGATTCGTAATAATTTTTGCGAAATTATTGCATACACAAATTTTCGCTTGCCTTATTCGGCAAGAAGTGCATTGCTATTTAAGCCAAAATCGCAAGTTTTGCCTATTCAGCACGACATAATAATTTATTTATCTTGTTAGATTTAAATATATGTAGTCTTGGGTGCCTCCGTGGATGTGCAAAATAAGAGTGAGGAGAACAATGGCTATTGCGTGCATGTGAGTACAATACAACGGATGTGTCTTTGTTGTGTTCAACTGAGACAGAGGAGGCGCTCTGAAGGCCATGCATAGAACAGGATTACTGAAGCTGTCGGTCAGCCAGAATAACTATGGACACGTGATAGTATAGATATGAACAAGGGGATAACTCACAAAATCAATAGAACTCCCCGTCATAGCGTATAAACCATACCCCCGGCCGGGATTGAACCCGCGGTCATAGTCTCAAAACTCCAGCCCGTTGCGTTAGCCACTAGACCAGCTAGCCACAATAAGATTCATCCAACTAGGTATATTTCTACACCATAGGAAAGTTAGCACAGGCACCACTGTGACCACAAATGCAAGTTTTTACAAATGAATGCTTATGCGTTGCATCTTCCTAAGGTTGATGTGGCATGTGTTGACAAAGGAAAGTTAGTTATTTAATATCTTCATTATGCACCCCATACCCATCCTCTGGGAGGTAGTCAAAAGAGTAAAGAGGTACATAATGGGTCCAGATAGCTGAACAAGTTACAAAGGTAACAAGAACATAAAGAAGGAACACTGCAGCAGGTCTACTGACCCATGCGAAGCAGGTCAGTAGGCCATAAGTTTCCTCAATAGTCTCTGTGGAACTCTATGGAAAGCCTTACTGAAGTCCATCTACACATCTATGCATGGTCATAATCATAAACAAATTACAAAGTAATGAGCCATTCACACGGTCACAACCTGTAATGAGTTATTTTGTGCAAATATAAATTGGGCCACAAACGAACATACACACGAACACACAGGCACTAAACTATAGACCTGTGTCACTGACGTGTATAGAATGCAAAGTTATGGAGAAGATTATCAGGAGGAGAGTGGTGGAGCACCTGGAAGGGAACAAGAGTATAAACGCCAACCAGCACGGATTCATGGAAGGCAAATCCTGTGTCACAAACCTTTTGGAGTTTTATGATAAAGTAACAGAAGTAAGACACGAGAGAGAGGGGTGGGTTGATTTCATCTTCTTGGACTGCAAGAAGGCCTTTAACACAGTTTCTCACAAGAGATTAGTGCAGAAGCTAGAGGATCAGGCACGTATAACAGGAAGGGCACTGCAATGGATCAGAGAATACCTGACAGGGAGGCAGCAAGGAGTCATGGTACGTGATGAGGTATCACAGTGGGCACCTGTGACGAGCGGGGTCCCACAGGGGTCGGTCCTAGGACCAGTGCTATTTTTGGTATATGTGAACGACATGATGGAAGGGTTAGACTCAAAAGTGTCCCTGTTCGCAGATGATGTGAAGGTAATGAGGAGAATTAAATCAGATGAGGATCAGGCAGGACTTCAAAGAGACCTGGACAGACTGGACACCTGGTCCAGCAACTGGCTTCTCGAATTTAACCCCACCAAATGCAAAGTCATGAAGATCGGGGAAGGGCACAGAAGACCGCAGACGGAGTATAGGCTAGGTGGCCAAAGACTGCAAACCTCGCTCAAGGAGAAAGATCTTGGGGTCAGTATAACACCGAGCATGTCTCCGGAAGCACACATCAACCAAGTAACTGCTGCAGCATATGGGCGCCTGGCAAACCTGAGAGCAGCGTTCCGATACCTTAGTAAGGAATCGTTCAAGACACTGTACACCGTGTACGTCAGGCCCATACTGGAGTATGCAGCACCTGTTTGAAACCTGCACTTGATAAAGCACGTCAAGAAACTAGAGAAAGTGCAAAGGTTTGCGACAAGGTTAGTTCCAGAGCTAAGGGGAATGTCTTATGAAGAAAGGTTAAGGGAAATCGGCCTGACGACACTGGAGGACAGGAGGGTCAGGGGAGACATGATAACGACATATAAAATACTGCGCGGAATAGACAAGGTGGACAAAGACAGGATGTTCCAGGGAGGGGACACAGAAACAAGAGGTCACAATTGGAAGTTGAAGACACAGATGAGTCAGAGAGATATTAGGAAGTATTTCTTCAGTCACAGAGTTGTCATGCAGTGGAATAGCTTAGAAAGTGATGTAGTGGAGGCAGGAACCATACATAGTTTTAAGACGAGGTATGATAAAGCTCATGGAGCGGAGAGAGAGAGAGGACCCAGTAGCAACCGGTGAAGAGGCGAGGCCAGGCCAGGAGCTAGGACTCGACCCCTGCAACCACAGATAGGCGAGTACAAATAGGTGAGTACACACACACACACACACACACACACACACACACACACACACATGATAAAGCTCACGGCTCAGGGAGAGTGACCTAGTAGCGATCAGTGAAGAGGCGGGGCCAGGAGCTCGGACTCGACCCCCGCAACCTCAACTAGGTGAGTTACACACACACACACACACACACACACACACACACACACACACACACACACACACACAACACACACACACACCACACACACACACACGCGCGCGCGCGCGCGCGCGCGCAGGTAAAGTACTTCATAAAAAGAAACACTGTTTACAAATTCAAGTCTCTTCTTAAAAATCACTTACTCACCCACAACTAAATAAATACTGAATAATTGTATCTCATAAATGTTTAACCTGTGACCCAATCAAACTTTGTTATTTTTAATTACAATACCTAACAATACTCCATTCTACTGAATGCTCAGCAACTCGGTAAATAACCATATGACCTGTCTTTGAAATACTCATTTGTGCTTAATTGTTATTTGTTTACTATAATGTTTACCAGTGAATATATCATTGCTTAGTTAATCTTTAGTTAATTTTAATCCTGCCCATAATGCTCTGCATACAAGGGGCTTCTGGCATGTTACACTTAACCACTGCATTTCTTTGTACATCTATGTATCATGTCCAAATTAATAATAACTAAAAAAATAAATAAAGAGTAAACAGCATGACTGAAGATTTTTAGCGAAAAAGAAAAAACTTTTCAAAGTTCCCATTTAGATGTTATGACCTACGAAGAGTTTTTTGAATATCTTCGGCAGAGAAATGACAAACACTCTTCAGGTTGGATGGAGTGTAGCGTAGCTGTCAGGAAGACTAGTCCCAGAGCTAAGGGGATGTCTTATGAGGAGAGGTCAAGATCTTGAACTCAACTCGATAACACTAGAGGATTAGAGAAATAGGGGGGGGGACATAATAACGACGTATAAAATACCGAGAGAAATTTACGAGGTAGATAGGGCTAGAATATTTCAAAAGATGGGACGCAAGAACAAGGGGACACAACTAGAAGTTGAAAACTCGGATGGGCCATAGGGATGTTAGGAAGTATTTCTTTAGCCTTAGAATTGTCAGGAAGTGGAACACTGGAGAGTGAAGTAGTGGAGGCAGGATCCATACATAGCTTTAAGAAGAGGTATGATAAGGCTCTTGGATCGGGGAGAAAGTGATCTAGTAGCGACCAGCGAAGAGGCGGGGCCAGGAGCTGTGACTTGACTCTTGCAATCACAAGTAGGTGAGTACACACACATACCCCTCACCCTCTTACTAAGGTAACTGAAGCACTTTCCATGGAACACCTCAACCTACCATAGTAAGGTGACCTAGAAGAATGCGAGTCATTGCTGTAATTTGAACATTTCACAACTAATCTCCATACTGCGAAGGGGAAGCTTAATGATGCTATTTAGGAGTGACCCAGATTTTGACCTGGGGGAGCCTCAGATATTCCACACATGTGCATGAGAGGGAGCAGCAACAGATGAGAATATAAATAATTGCCTCGCAATTAAAAAAAAGTTTTTTCGCCTGGTTTTATTAAGTTAGTGTTTGGTCTCTGTGGGTTTAGCGCTTAGTTTTCATTATAATAATATAATCAGTTATCAGGACTTTATTGCCTGTTTTCAAGTTAGTGGTATTAATACCAACAGGAAGTTGTGTTCGAGATTCATGCTCGGACTAAGGGATGGATCGGCTTCGGGTTCTCTCTGGACGGCGGCATGAGGGGAAGCGACATCATGATGGCGTGGGTGAAGGACGGCCGCCTCTTCCTACAAGACTACTATGGTGTGGGGGAAGGAACGCCACTTTTGGACGATCATGCTGACTGGAGGCCACTCTACGCTAGAGAGAACGACACCCATACTATACTGGTGGTGGTCAGGGATTTCAACACCTGCGACCCACAAGACTATGTTCTCACGGTCAGTCAACATGTGGAGTGTTCTTGTATACTGAATCGTTTTGGTGATTTAGTAGTGAATCCGGTTAAACATTTGTATCACTCTTTTCAAGATACGAGCAGTATCTTGAAAGGTCTAGACTAAATTTCTTAAGATTTAAAAACAAATATCCAGTAGAGATTTGAGGGTACCAGAATAGAATTATAATTATCCAACCTGTTCTTTTTAGCTCTTGTTTTTAATCCTGATATTTTCTTTTGATGTTCAAAAATAACCTTAATAAGAACTTTATTCGCGTTTGCATTTATCACAAACTTTTGGGAACCATTTTTTAATAAGAACAAATAGCTAGGAGGCTCTTTTTAGTTTTCAGATTTGTTTAAAGGATGTCCTAATTTTAAATAAATAACTTCGAGACATTTTCTTCCCAGAATGACTCGATGCGTATGATATACGCTTGGGGGGAGGAGGACCCTCAAGGTAATGTTCCCAGCTATCACGGCCATCGACGAGGCAACAGGTGAGATCCCACTACTTGTAGAATTAGTCCATGTATCCAAGACCTATACTAGTTGAAATCTGTTCTTGGCCAAGTTCTTAATTTAACCTCATTCAGCTGACACCTACTATGCGCTATGCTAATTCTTTTTGCAACGCTAAACCTGGGTGAAGTCATTCAGCACAAGTAGTGGAGCCTCGACCCTCCGTCAGCCAAGAGTAAAGCACGTACCATTTAATTACTCTCCTAGTTTCTCCTATGCGCTATACATTTGTCCAGTATATCTTTTCATTATGTATACTTTTTCTTGGGTAATCTTGGCTTCACTATATTCAGACATTCTATAATACTGTTTACATGCTCGTCCTTGGCAAGGTATCTGTAGGCCTGGAGAAGGTTTTGGGGATCAACGCCCCCGATGTATAAGATATGAACATCACTCGGTAAATATAAACTGAGTTTACTTTTTCATTAGTTTAAGGATTGAAGTATTCTAAATGCTAATGTACAGGTGAAATGCGGCCTTGATCCTCGTGCTGTTGCTAGGTATACTACACAAGTACACAGTACTACTGACATTATAATAATTTATTTATTTCTACAAGTAAAAGGTATACAAGCCTAGTTGACATACTACTATAAAGAAAGCCGCTTGTTATGCTGAGCATTTCGGGCAAATTATGTCAGTTTTGTTCCAGGTTGCGACCCACACCAGTCGACTAACACCCAGGTTTTTTTTTTTATTTAAAATTACATTGCAATACATTAAATAAATAAAAGAACCCTATTATCGGCTCCGCCACAAAACATAAATTTTCATTTCCTAAATACACACTGCAGGTTCCTCTTTGTGCTGACACAAAATATCCCTCATCCCCTATGCTTTTTATACCTTACTCCTATGCTAAATACAATATTGTACATTTCATCAATCAAAATATATTACAATTAGCATCAATATTTCTATTCTACTTGTGGAAATTATTTAATTTCCGAAGCTATAGTGCCTAATAAGTGTTTAATGTGTTGATTTGGGTCAAAATGTTTTTGAAAATGGAATAGAACCAACAGGGTTCCCTTTGCGCCTGCGTGGATGAATGTGGTTGAGGCTGTGAAAACATGGGACCAGGAAATTGGCGTTCACGGCGGCCTAAGGATTAATATAGGCCTCACTTCATAATAGGAAGTGTTGTAACTGTCCCTGGTGAAGGGTGAGGGAACGTGATTGACGGCACCGCTGTAATAAGTGGTAAAATTAGTGAATAATGGTAGGACCAGGGGTGACTGGTGCGCCGCCATGGAGTGTGTCCAGGGGAAAATACCCGTGAGTTAATCCTCACTCATCGGTCTCAGATCTTAATGGAGTGACCTCTAATGTGTATAATAATTATGAGACATTAAATTGTCTTGTGAATTGTAATGTAATCAATGATAATAACACTAAGTTAAGAGAATGCATGAAGTGAAATAAGTCGCCTTGTTCCGAGTGAACATGTTAGACCACGTTGTTCCCATCCCGAGGATAGGGAAGTTTTTATAGAGTCACGGCTTCTAAACCGGGACAAACCAATGGATACCTCGTCCTGCTGGAATAAGAACCATGTCGGTGTAGCAGGACATCGAAATGAGATGGTGAATAGAGGAAATAAGGAGCATCAATCACCCACAGTTAAGTAACCCTTCTGGCCAGTTAGGTATGTTGTAATTGGATAGGTTATGGGTGATCCAGCTACATCAAGTGACCAGAGAATATCTGGTAAGTGGTGGGATTATGTACAAGTGTTTTTCCTTGATGGATATATCCATGTGTAACCTACCCCCCCTTCATTCAATTAAACTAATATAATCTATACAGTCCACAATTAATTAGTAGCGCCGTACTTGTGGGTGCTATCCAATTTATACTGGTCTCGGATAGATATGGATAAGATTGTGAGTGTCAGAGACCACCTGCAGTGACCAGGGGTGGTTAAGTTTTCTCACATGTCTACACGGGGTGACTACGGTAAACAATATAGTTGTTGTCTCCAAATGAGATTACTCGTATGCATGTAATGTTGAGGTACATACAGGTAACACCCCTATAAAATTTTCCATACTACTTATCACCCGACTAAGAGGTGAACATTGTCATTACACAGGATTCCATGAAAATTTACTTAAGATTTAATACAAATATTGTCAAGTCTCACAACTCCTTCCCGTCTTCTAAATACAGTGTACACACATTCAATTGCATGTTGTTATGATCCCATCATAATTACTTACACCCCCCCCCCTTTTCCCCATTGCAAAATTAAATGCACTTACACTAGACGTCACAACGTCTGACTATTGTTCACTTAACTTATAAAATAATTAAATAACACAATTAAAATTTATGACAAAAATAGATAGGAACATTACTTGACAATAATGAAGAATGCCAACTAAAAATGGTAACTGTACACTAGATAATGAAACTCACACACTGAATACATATTCCCATATTTATGTTTTAACATGTTCAATAAGATATTGATGTATAGTAACAAGTATTCAGAACATTATCAGACCTACTCTTTGACGCACTGAAGAAAATAATATAACATTATCGCTCTTAATAATACATGTGCAGAACAGTACTACCTCCATCATTAAAAATCCATCCAGGCACAAGACACTTCAGAAAGCCATCCCCTGACCCCATACTGTCTATATTAAAAACACAAACTTACGTTCCCTTACATGCTCAAGCTCGTACCTGAAGTCTAAAGTCATAAACCCCTATCTCTTAATCACAGGTCACCCCCTACCCCCCTCATGCCTAACGACTGCACACCCATATACTCCACTACCACACACTTTTATTCACATTCCATCCTCCACTAATCTCAAAACAGAACAAAGTGACAGACTCCGGGAATACACCCATTCCAGCTCTACCCTGCACCCAACCCTAACATTACACCTACCGTCAGATTACGATAACCCACTGGGAAACTATTTACCCACACCTTCCCATATAGTAGCCTATTCCTGCAAACCGTACGATACACACTCGCTGCAAGTGCCCTCACCCTACAATCACCCCCCACCTCCCGCATACCCCAAGAAACATACAAAAATTCGCCACCACGTAATCACAGCCCGCCGAATCCTTAAACCCCACCCACCAAAGTGCAACGCCCCAAAGTCGATGTCTCCCCCCCCCCCCCACTATACAAGGATCCTCGCTACCAGTCCTTACAACCCCCAAGTTTTCACAAAAATATACAGCATGAAAAACGTCCCTCCTCCCCCAATGCTGACAATTCCCCGACCCTACAAACCCATTCTATAAGCCAACCTTGAAGCTAAATTCCCAGAAAAAACCTAGATACCAAATTCACGAACCCTCGGGGTTTAATCTAATCTTTCGAAAGTCTTCCCAAATGCCCCTCCAATCATACATCGGGTATGTATTTAGTCCCTGCATCACCTCTCCCTGCCTACCTGTCCTCCCAAGCCTACTAACCTTACCTTCCTTGCATCCTGGATTGTCAATAAAATAGCATCATATCTTCACACATCAATAACTCCTTCCCCTTCCACCATTTTTTTCACATCCTCCATGACCTCTCCCCACCCTTATCCCCTCTCCCTCCCCACCCTTAGGTACCTCTGCTTCACATATACTGCCTTAACACGTGTGTCCAAAGGTATGAGACCCAACCCACCCAGTCTCACATCCGTCATCACCACCTCCTTCCGAAGCCACGGCCTCCCATAACCCCACACATACCTCAAAAACCCCCTCTCCAGTTCCTGAATACCACGCACCCTCAGGGGATATACTTCTGCCACTCCCCACACTTTACTATACACCAGTGTGTTTACTACCATCACCCTCTGCTGCAACATTACATCCCCGGCCCTCCACCCTCGCATCCTACCCATCGCTCTACTCATAACATCCCTTGAATTTACCCTCTGTGCCTCCCCAGCCTCTGCCATGTACACCACCCCACATATCTTAAGTCTATCCACAGTGTTCCACCCATACAAGTCCCCCAAACCCCCCCCACCCACATACCTACTTCCATTAACTTAGACTGCTCCATTAACCCTCATCCCAGTCACCCCGCCAAAAATCTCTATTATACGTCCCACATTCCCCAATCCTATTTCCCCTCCCACCAAAATTGTGGTGTCATCCACATACCCCACAATCCCACATCTGCCAGGACCCTTCTTTCCCCGTTCCCACACTCCTTCCTCTATAAGCCTATAAAATGGGTCCTGCATGCATGCAAAGAGGATTTGTGACAAGGGACAACCCTGTCGTAAACCCTTCCCCATCTGTATCGGCAGCCCTGACTTCCCATTAACTTGTACCCTGACTCGCAGGTGTATACAAAGTAGTCACCCACTGCACAATCTCATCCCCAAAACCCTGTTTTTGTAAAATATGCCACAACGTACATCTATCAACACAGTCATAAGCATGCCTCCAATCGATCCCCAAGATCCCCCCTCCTTGTCTGCCCTCCACGAAATCCCTAATTCTTCCATGCCCTCACACATACTTCGACCTGGAATCCCATACTGTCCTTTATGTATAACAAGGTCAGTCACCTTCTTCATGGGATTGCCCAAAACCTTCGCAAATATCTTATAATCAGCGCACATGAGAGATATCGCCCTATAGGCACCCAGGGTCCTCCCCCCCTCCTTTATAAACCAAAACAACTACCCCCATGCCCTGCGTTTCCCCCAACACTCCCCCTTCCTTCATACAGTTAAGCAACGAGACCAGACATTCCTTCATACAATCCCAGTGTGCAATATAGAAATCGTTAGGAATCCCATCCATCCCTGGCGCTTTTCCCCCTACTCAAGCTCATTACCGCCTCCCCCACTCCTCCTCATTGATCCTACCTTCAAGCTCCGCCCTCTCTTCCTTCCCTAAAATTCCCCGAATTCCCTCCCCTATAATCTCTCCCTCCCTCCCTCCACCCTCCCCCTGCTTAAAATTCTCCCTGAAACAAAGATCAGCAGTGTTACGCATTCCATCAGTGGTTCTTAGTACCTGCCCCACCCTATAGCCCCCCACCCCTTCACACACCTCTAATCCCATAATCGTGGTCATCTGCTGTCTTTCCCTGAACCTCCACAAAACACATCCTGATGGCTTATCACTCCATAGTACCTCTTCTAATCCTTCCCTCACACGTATCGCATCAAAACGAGAATTCTGTATATCCTTCAATCTTCCCCTTAAAGCCTCAATTTCTCCATGCCTATCACCCCCACCCCCTTCATAGCAATCACTGAGCTGCCCCTCAAGGTATTTCTGTAATCCAAACCTCCACCGTGCCTCATCCCGGCCTCTATGCTGGTAATAATCCTTAATCCGCCGTTTAGCTTGCATCTCCCACCATCCCAAAACATCCTCCTCGATGTTGCGTGCCTCCCAGAATTGTCTCCACCAGTCCCTGAATGTAAACCCCTCCCCCTTTCCCTGAAGTAACCTCACGTTCATTTTCCAATAACCTGCATACCCGCGAACCATACCATCCCATGCCACCTCTGCCAACACGGCACGATGGTCCGTAAAACCTACGTCAACTGTCAGCACACATTCTACTGTAATTTCACGAGTTATGTATATGCGATCTAATCTGGCAGCATAACCCCTCCACATAAACGTGTGCTCCACTTTCCACCCATCACCCCTGACTACATCATAAACCCCTGCATCCCTCAACAAATCCCTGAACACCCCAAGCACACACTCTGCACCCCTCGGCTCCACATCCTTATTTCTAATTACACAATTCCAGTCCCCACCTACTATGGAAACCATGGGTAAACCCTGCAAGTGGAAAAGCAGATCATCCCATATAAAATTCACCTTTATCCGTCTGTTACTATCAGCCGGCATATATATCCCCAGAAAACACACTCTAATCTCCCCCCAGAGCCCCTCCACCCTCACCACTCTCCCCTCCCCCCCTTTTCCCACGCGAGCACTTGAAATGGGCTGGATTCCCTCACTGCCACTGCCACCCCACCCTTTACTTTCCCTGAACTACCAGCATACATCCTAAACCCTTTCAACCTCAACTCTCTGCCACACTTAAAATTGTGTTCCTGTATAAAGCACACGTCAACATCAAAATGCCTCAAAACATTCTCGAACCATACACGTTTAACTTCAGCTCTTAGGCCATTCACATTTATAGTTAAACACTTAAAGATGCAAAAAAGGTGGCTTTCTTCTGTCTCTGTGTCCTGTCTATAATGCTTTTTATTACTCCTGACTTCTCCCATACAGTCTTGCCCTCCTTGATTCCCTCCCTCCCCTGTGCACTACTCTGCTCTTTCTTAGTTACTCCCGCCCATGTCTTCTTGTCAGGTCGCTGAGCTGGAGTAATGACCTCGTCATCCGACAGGTCTTCAGCTCTCTTCCTAGAAGCCCCCTCAATCTTCATGTCATTATTTCCACTCTCCCTGTGCACCTCAGCGTCCACCGCAACAACTGCAACATGCCAGATCCTGACCCCGTCGACCCTGTGGCCTGTCCAGTCAGGTCATCAACCATCAGAAGTCCCCCGTCTAGAGCAGAGCGGGGTTCTCCTCTGCTGGCACGTCTAGGAAGGACTTAATCATCTCCTGCAGAGGTTCAGATAATTCCTGTAGGTCACCAGCCTCCCCCACTCCCACAGGCTGCTGCTCCACTTCAGGTTCTTCCTGTGGGGGAGCAACCAAAGCTTCTGGTAGTGTCACACAACACTCCTCCACACCGTCCACTTCGTCTGCCCAATTTCCATAGCGTGCTGCAACCACCGCAGCAGACGAAGGAGCCACCAACGACTCTGTGGCTACTGGTATTTCCTTTGACCGTGGAGCTGCAGCCTTACCACACCCGGTTGCCATGTGTTCAAAAGCACCACACAGTCGACACGTTTTACGTTGTCCTGCATAGGTCACAAACACCTGTGTCCTAAAATCCTCCAGGACAACATACGAGGGGATAGGTCGACTCAAAGTCATCTTGATATTGTAAGATCCTGCAAGAAGCCCCGCGTAGATTCCATCCATCCATCGTTCCAAAGTCACAGCATGTACCTCACCATAGCTTCGAAAAGTCTCTCGAATATCCACGTCATCTGCTTCAAAAGGAACATTCCGAATCCTCACCCAGGTGTAGTATTTGGAGGCATCCTGCAGGCATACCTCCAGCCCAGATGAAACGGTGATACATCTCTCCTGGTAGTTAGTTACCGTCCTTTCGTAAGCTTCCACTGTGCAGAACCTGACGAAAATCCTTGTAGAACCATTCAGAGCAATCCCATATAACTCATTGTTGTCAATACAGAAAGTATCCCTGATGATCGTCGGCAGCAAAACAGAGGCATTTGTAGGGTAAATTGCCCCTTTGACTAAGTCAACACATACAGTGTTACTCCTCCTGCGGCCACTGGCAGCCATCTTGGAGAAAACAGGAAGTTGCGCAACAGAGAAAACAGGAGGTTTTGCGCAGCACGTCCACACGGCCCGAGAGTGATGAGAGCAACTAACACCCAGGTACCCATTTTACTGATGGGTGAACAGGGACAGCAGGTGTCTTTTGGACACACGTCCTTAATGTTTTCCAGCCATACCGGAGATTCGAACTCCGGACCTAAGTGTGTGAGCTGAATGCGCTAGCGATCGAGCTACGGGACTGGTCTTTGTATCTCCCATTGCCAGGATTTCAGTCTCAGGTCCTACCTCTTATTGATGTCTCAGTTCAGTCTCTGATCTCGAGTTCGCGTTCTTCCTTTGACCTTCCGGTACTTCCCTTAATCTGCTGATAACATTTACGTCTATTTATCATCCCATAACCTAATTTACCATGAGAAATTCTCCGACTGTCTTGCCTTTCCCATGTGCTCCGAGAGTTGGTTTAGAGTGGATCCCAAGACGGATCTTTCAACAAATAAAGTTGCAGCATAGCTGTATTCTAATTAGAAGGCAGTTATTTTTTTTTATAATTCATTCAGCTAATTTTGAAATTTAATTTTGTTTGGAATATATTAAGTTTTGCAGGCCCTAATTATTTCTTAAGCTTTTTGGAAATTTAATAACCCCTAGAGATTGAAACTAATGGATAACCCAACTTTTTACCAGGTATGCGCTGGTGCTTCTGCCATTTCATCGTCAACTCCTGGCGGAGGAGTCGCAAGTATGGAGAGTAGAGCAGAGTGTCACACTGCCCCACACTCAAGACACCTTCTACTGGTGCCACATAGAAAAGATTCCAAAGTGGGAAACCAAACATCACTACATTGGGGTGAATATTCCAAGGACTAGATAGTATTCCCAAAGTGGTAACTTCAAGCGAGGGACAGATTTTTTTCTTAGTCTGTTTTTTTTTTGTTTAAAAACTGAGAACGCCAGATCCAATCAACTTCATATGTTTAATGTTGATTTACTGCAATTATTGAAAGGGTAATGCAACTATTTGCATGTGCTTGTGCTCTCTGGTCAGTTTTATATAAACAATTCCAAGTTTAAGGAATGTGCGATAACTTGTAATAATAATAATAATAATAATAAAGTTTATTCTACTCAGCTTCAACACTGGTGTATCCTGCTTAGAAGAGTGACAGGATTGTTATTAGAGTTGGGGGGGATGAGGCAATTTAAAACGCTTCATGCCGTTAAGTCGTGCCGCAGTGTGAATTTTAAGTGGTACCCTGTAAGCTTAGGCCGACTATATTTTCCATTTTAATAACATAATTTAATGAACCTGGAATTGTTGGATTTAAATTTTCAGCAATGGTGGGCTCTGCGTTCATATTGATTTTTGGGTTATGTATGTTTTAAATTTCCATTTTTATTAAACGAATTGGTTTCCGTGTAGCGACTGAGGAATGCATCTTCTGATCGATTTCAAGGCCTAAGCTCTGGTGTCTTAATTATGTGGAAATTTGTCTGGACTGCCTCCATGTGAGTTGTCTACCCTAGCAAGCTCTGTTGACACCCAGCCCTGAGGCTGGTACCTCAGCCTCACAAGTGGCTTATGACACATTTCCATAAATGACTGATGTTGCAAGAAATCTCGCCTGCATGCACGGATAAAGGACTAACTTGGTGTTGGAGAATATATCCCGGTCTTCAACCTCCCTAAGCTTGAGCCCCTCTGGACTTCCCTTTCAGAACCACGTGCAACCGGGAACCTTAATTCCTGCAATATTCAGTCGGTATTAGTGACCTGCCTGCACCTCAGAAATTCCTGATTCCAAGGGTGTGAGTATCCCCTAGTATAACTATGCAGAAAGTGACACTAGCTTCTAAGCTTAACAACGAGGAGACGCCAGTACGTACTGGTCATTGGCCGTCCGACTGCACAAAGACCCACAGTTCAACTCGCTCCCAATTTCCCCCAGAAACTGGCTAGAATACTGAGAAAGAAAGGGAGGTCTTGTCTTGCTGTATGGGCTTGATGGAGGAGGTCATCTATGGTACTTCGATGTGCCTCCACCAGATCTCCCCAGGGCCTAGTATGTGTAGACACGTGGGGTGCTGCCCTGATGTTCATGGCAGTGTGCCTCGTTCGGAGTTTTGACAAAGGAGGCACTGCGGTCTCAAAACTCCGTGCCTCGACATTCAAACTTGGGCTGCCAGTTCTCCCTAGCTAATATAACCTAGTGTTTGCCTATATTACCAGTCTATTACCACCTACATTAAGGTCTTAGGTCTACATTATTATCATCTACAGTTGCCTCAATAATCCTAATATTAGTGTACTAACAGTATAAACTACCTACCTCTTCCTTGAAGGGTAAATCTATCAATTAAAATGTACCTTCCAACCACCTTCGCCAACCCAGGTGTGTGTATGTGTTTTGGGTAGATGTGAAGGTCAGCAGAACTCAGACGGCCTTTCCGTGGAATATTAGGGCCTTCATACGACGTATCTGCCCTGTGGAACTTTAGGACCAAATAAGTTTCCACAAATTACAAAAATTTTGAATTTATCTTGGGCTGTGAAGGCACCAGTTTTATTGAAAACAATTTGAAAGTTGAACTAATGGTTTTTCTTACAGTAAATGAATAACCCCAAAGGAGTACTTTAAAATGCCTCCCTGATTTTTTTTTTTTACCTACAAGTTTTCGTTTATTGCTTGAGAATGCCTCGTGCAATAGGCTTCATATCTCCATTGCTGGCAAGTTATAACTAGGAAAAAGTTCATGCTGGTATTGGCATACGCAGATACTCATACTGGCTGACGGGAGAAAGAAGACATGATAACCATATATAAGGTCATAAAAGAACATAAAAGATTAGATAAAGATAGCTTAGTGCCTGCAACGAACATAACCAGTTTACCTGGAGAGAATTCTGGGGGTCAACGCCCCCGCGGCCCGGTCTGTGACCAGACGTCATGGTGGATCAGAGCCTGATCAACCAGGCTGTTACTGCTGGCTGCACGCAAACCAACGTACGAGCCACAGCCCGGCTGATCAGGAACCGACTTTAGGTGCTTGTCCAGTGCCAGCTTGAAGACTGCCAGGGGTCTGTTGGTAATCCCCCTTATGTATGCTGGGAGGCAGTTGAACAGTCTCGGGCCCCTGACACTTATTGTATGGTCTCTTAATGTGCTAGTGACACCCCTGCTTTTCATTGGGGGGATGGTGCATCGTCTGCCAAGTCTTTTGCTTTCGTTGTGAGTGATTTTCGTGTGCAAGTTCGGTACTAGTCCCTCTAGGATTTTCCAGGTGTATATAATCATGTATCTCTCCCGCCTGCGTTCCAGGGAATACAGGTTCAGGAACCTCAAGCGCTCCCAGTGTTGGTCATTGAGGAAAAAGTGAGCTGAAGGATTACTAGGAAATTTTTCTTTGCAAACATTGGTAGACTAATGGAATGTATTGAGAGAGGAGATAGTAAGTCCTACAACCATTGTAAATTTGAAGAAAATCTATGATGAAGAAATTATTATTGAAGATGACACACACACACACGCGCGCGCGCGCGCACACACACACACACACACACACACACACACACACACACACACACACACACACACACACACACACACACACACACACACACACACACACAGGGGCTTGGACTCGACCCTTGCAATCTTAACTAGGTGAGTGCACACACGTAGGGGGATGGTGGTATGGGGTTGGCACCGACCGTTGGCCACATTCTGAGAGAAGCGGCGGCCAGTGACACACCCGCACTACGTTACTCTAAGAAAACTCCCCCTGCTTTAGTTGCTACCTTGCAACATTGCATGACTCCTGATGATGCACTGAGAATTGTGAAAGTACTTGAGCTAAAGATTTCCACCCGTGACTTGTCTTGCATAGTTAAGATCACCTGTCAGCGATTGTTTGAGATAATATATATATATATATATATATATATATATATATATACTATATTATATATATATATATATATTATATATATAATGTCGTGCCGAATATGTAAAACTGGTCAATTAGCAAGAACTCATTTAAAATTAAGTCCTTTCTAAAATTTTCTCTTATACGTTTAAAGATATATTTTTTTTCATTAATGTTAATGTAAAAATTTTTAATTTTGCTCCAAAAGAATCTTAGAAAACTTACCTAACCTTATTATAACAAGAACAATTTATTTTAGCCTAACCCAACTGTGGAAAATTTTTTAATTTTCCGAAACTATAGTGCCTAATAGGTGTTTAATGTGTCTATATGGGTCAAAAATGTATTTGAAAATAAGAGTAGAACCAAGAGTTCCCTTTGCGCATGCGCGGATGTGCGGGAGGGAGTGGCGGGTTTGTTTTGAAGGTGGAGAGGAAGCGGAAAAGGCATGGTACCACGAAAAATTGCATTTACGGCGGC